TGTCTTTCTGAAATATTTGAAACCAATTATATTCTGTAACGGTTTAACCATTCTCTGCTAAGGCCAAATTGCACATTTTTTTGTTATTGTTGATGTCAAAGGTTCCAGTTTATGCATTTCTATAATAATTAGGTGTAGCATTATATTATGCATATACTCTATATTGATAATGTTTATAAATGTGTTTTTGGTACTAAAGGTGGTTGTTCTCAAGTATACATACAGTTTGGATAGCAAAGTGAGTTTCTGGATGTTAAACTCGATATTGACTAAAACTCATACACATAATCTGGATGCTATGTGTTTCTTCTTTATATCGGCTCACATGTAACTTTTAGTCCCTCAAACTACGGAGTATTAAAATTACTTTTCAAATGATAGAAATGCTCTTAAAAATGCATAACATGAATCTAATGTGAGCTTCTCCTGAGTGTTTAGAAGTATAAATGACAAAAAAGGCCAAAAAGCAAAAAAAAAAGAAATATTGTAGCACCAACATTGGGAAAACAAAGAGTTCTTCACTGACACGGGAAGTGACTTAATCGCCATAGGAGTTCGCAACAAAGTGGAAATAATTCTGTAATATACGAGTATCATCTCTTTGAGGTCTGTATCAACTACGAACAAATCTATCTTATTATATACAAAAGGAGGTGGAATGGTGAATAGTGTTCCCGCCCAAAAAAAAGGGTCAACATTGGGTCACTTGGGTCGGGTCGGATCAGGCAAAAAGGCGTACAATGGGCTCAGGTTTTTAAATGGTTATTTATTGCGACTGACAAGTATAAGATGTTCACGAGATAAATGAATTGTCCAAGCGTTCATTTTCAATCTGGTGGGGTTGAGTGTTTTTTTTATTTGAATTTCAAACTTTGCATTTAATAAGTCTGTCATAGTGTCATGTGTCACAAGTCGATCATGAATTGTCATTTCAGATAGTACATACTACCCTATATTATCCAGTGGTTATTTTAGTCATGTACATCACAATGGTAAATGGTTCTACTATAAATACTCAGTATGTGCTTATTTATCCATTCATCACTTCAACCGGTGTAGAACACTAATAAGATGTGTAGAGCACAGTAAATCCAGTTGGGCATTGAGTGATGGGTGTACCCCAATAATGGTGTTTGAGGTTTCAATCCATCTCATATAGTGTCTTTCGTGAAGCATGTATCGATTCTTATATGTGGATTTGTTTTTTGCAGCTTGAAGTAAAATAATGGTTGTTGATAAGTCTCATTTTCATGGTAGGTTGTATTTCTTAAAGGTTAACACATTGATACCATTCTACAGGGAATCCATACTAATGTGCCAAAGCTTCAATTGTCGAAGAAGAGTGAGAAAATGAAGTGTCTCGTGTCAAAGAAAATGAATACTTTCTAGAAAGGAGACATTTCCATAAAATATGTTGTTATAAGGTATAATGGTATAATATCCATCATAAGTTTGAGCACATTTCTATTGACCCGAATGGAGTAAACCTGGTAAGTAATTAATAGATTTTCAAAGGTTAAAAGTAGGTCTTAAATAAGCTATATTCCATATAAAGAATATTGAGAAGCGCTCAAACTTCTGTATTGGCCCCAAAATTTTCTATTGCCCCCAAAAGTATGAAATTTGAAAGTAAAAATAAGGAACACATATATTTGCATCTTTATAGATAATATTATTTCAAAACCTTCAATAACAATGAATATAAAAGTGTTTCAAGTCATACGAGTATTGTACTACTCCGTATTAAAGAGGAGCAGCTGATGACATTTACTTTTGCAACATAACCTCTTTAAATACAATTCAAAGCAATAATTTAGATTTTCAGAAGCTAATCAGGAGAAACTAAAAATCACATAGCCTAAATATCTCTTCTTATCCAAAGTCCACAAGTACTTTTAAATTCTTTGTTTAACAACAAAAAGACATTTAAAATTGAACAAAGGTCACTTTTTTTCGATAAAAAGTTGAACAATTTTTTCAATTTTTTTTTGTTTCAATAACAAAGAGTGTTCTTTTGAGATGGCACACACACACATTAGATTTAAAGAAGCTTAGGGTAAATAGTAGAGAAGGACGATTTATTTTCTTACCCGTGGCTCATGGGTGGGTCTTTCTAATCTGTTTGTTGATTTTTATAAATGTTTCAAAGTAGGACCAATTTGAATTTCAAAACATCAGGGCAAACCTAACAGTTATGTTAGGGTTCACCGTTCACCTTAAACAGGTCGTAAACACAGTTTTTTATAAAGCCTTAAACATTTTGGGTAGTCAAGGTATTTATATATAAATCATGTATACAAGTGGGTTTTATCAATATACACTTATTTAATATTAACTTCCTGGTGAAAAATATCACATCCGTAACATACAGTTATTTTTAAAGTACACATGCCCTCAATAATATATATATATATATATATGTGTGTGTGTGTGTGTGTGTGTGTGTGTGTGTGTGTGTGTGTGTGTGTGTGTAGTGTAATGTTTCCATGTAGGGGATTAACTTTAAGTACTTTAAAGCAAAGTCATCTAAGGATAAAAACCATAAAAATCTGTACAAATAGATTGGAAACTCTATCTTAACTTTTCAAATCAGGTTACATATCTAAAAATTTGTCCGACCAAGTTATACATAGTTTAAATTAAGTTAATGGCAGACACAAATTATGGTTTAATATCAACATGCATGTAAAAACATTTAACAAAAATTTCAACTCTTAATCCCAATATTCAAATTTAGGGTGTTTAAAAAACCTTTTCGCGGTTTAGTTATAAACTATTACTTCAAAATCAAATACCCTTTGGATTTTAAAAGGCTCCATTTTATAATTGAGCATTGAAAAAATAATTTATAGTTGAATTAGTATTTAACGGTAGTAATCATTATCTACAAACAAGTCATATATACGTTCGGTTATGTATGGCATTTTTGTAGTTCACATATCATTGGTTTTAGAGATGGTAATGGTGACATCATTAACGTTATGCGTATTTTACGAGGCCAAAATCATTTATAAACACTAAATGTACAAACAAATTTAAACAAATCTGAACACACATACACACACATGATAAACAAATCCGAACATACCTAAAACTTTCAAACCAGACTCTTTGATGTTCTCTCACCCAACTTAAACATTGAGATTGATAAATAAGCATTGATTCCAACATAAAGTACTCACAGGATGATTCCACCATCAAAATCGTTTGCTAAGGGGCTAACAATCAACTATACACAATAACGATGGATTTCAGCCGGAATCGGTTCGAAAGGTAAAGGTCAATATAGCGACTGCTGCTTTGTGAAGTTACCAGATAAAGCTGTGATTCTCTCAATGGGGTACAAATGAATGCATCTACTGCAGGCTAAAGAACTTTATATAGAGTGGTGTGGTGAGGTTTTGTTGATTGAGTGGGTTTAAATGGGCAAATTTATTGGGCTGATAACATTTGGGTTAATAAAAAGACCGGTCCGGGATTTTAGAAAGGATGAGTTTTGGTTATTGTTGTCAATAATCCTTTTATTTAAATTTTACAGTTTCTTATTTATTTACTGCGAATTTAAAATATAATTAAGTTGTTTAATGGTTTACAAATGCTTTGAACTTTTCGTTAACTCATCAAGTGTATTAATAAAATACATTAATTTATGTTCCGTACATTCATATGCCCTGGATATTAAAGTTAATAAGTTGTATTTAGCAATTAATTACTTTGTATCTTTATCTATGCACCATGAATGTTTACCTCGGGTATAATTATATTACCTGAAAAACTCATTATTTGAATGCATATGAATGTAATTTTAGCTCACCATTTGAGAAAGTCATTATATTTGAATAATTGTTTTCAATGAACAATAGATTTTTGTTGTAACTTATGATCTAAAAATAAAACAAAATATTTTCGTGGATATAAGTATGCATCGGAAGAAACACACAAATCACATTTATTCTTAATAAGGCCTCACTCTCCTTATCATTTGAATTAAAAATTGCAGCAAAAATTGTAAAACCCCCACAAACAATTTAATTTCTTATAACCTCGTAAGTAAACTACCTATCGGTGGAGTAAATGTTGTGGAACATTTACCAGAATCTTTACAAACAATTTTGAGCCCGTTTAGTGACCATGTTTTTCGGTTATCGAACAACTTTTTCGCCAAACACGCAAATTTTAATATCACGCGCTGAATTGTATAATAATAAGAAAAGGACAAGGTTGGAGTTAATTTTCTAGATGTATTAGTTGAAGTTGCTATAGAAGAACATTTTAGCTTTTTTATATGATTTTTTTATTTATTTTACTAATAAAATATATTTTAAATATACTTTTTTTGTAAATCAGCAAAATCGGTCAATTCAACCACTTTGACTAGAACTTGATAAATTTCAACAGAATCAACCGATTTAGTCGATTTTAGTATTACCAAACAAGCTCTTAATACTTGCATAAACTTCTTTATGCTCTTTTTTTAACTAGGACATGGTTCGATCCGAGTCTTGGTCAGATTTTTTCTAAAATTGAAAATTATTCGTAAAATTTCGGATTATGCAAATTGCAGTTTGGAATAAGACCCATCATATGTGGTCCTATTCGGATTTTGATAGCCATGATTCTAATTTATCAATCTAGGATGTTATGGTTCATCGCTGATATTTAAAAACTTTAAATGATTTGATTATAGTTTCTTCTGTGCATCGCACGGGTGAGAATCTAGTATTTACCAAAGAACTACGTATAAGATTCCAGTTTTGTTTCTTAAAGAACACGTTGGTGTTCTTTGTGTTATGGTCTATTTACCAAAGAACTTAGTGATAACAATAAGAGATAAAATGCAATAACATTCTAAAGCTTTCTTAACACATCAATGACAGAGAATAGAACTTTATTTTAAACAAGTCATTTACATGTTTTTTTGAATGTACATGTTGTTTTATCTCTCATTGCAAATGATGAAAATAACAATCCTATTCCAACCAGCCTAGGGTGGGGATGGACTCAGCCCGAGTCAACCGGCCCGTAATCGGCCTGACATGATATTGTTCCGGCCTGGCTGGGCCCGATACCCGAGTTTGTGCCCAGTTCAAGCCACCCGGCCCAGTACTGTTTTGGGGCGGGCTCCGAGTCTCAAAAAATGAACCGGCTCAACCAGTTCGGGCCTATTTCAGGCCTTTTTTTTTTCAAAATTTGAAAAAGGTAAATGGGTCGGGCTGAGTGTTTTGGACGGGTTTGAAGTGTGGGGTGGGGAGGAAGTAATTAGAAAATCAAACAAAAAATTAGGTAACCAGCCCAACCCGGACCCAGTAGCTACCCAGGCCGGTTTCAGCCTTCAGGACTTGAGAATCCAAAAAAAAAAGTCCGATCAGGCCCGACCCGAGGCCCGGCTCGAGTCCATGCCTATCCCGAGGGAACTTAGTTAGAACCATCATGGAGGGAACTTAGTAAGAACCATCATGGAGGGAACTTAGTAAGAACCATCATGGAGGGAACTTAGTAAGAACCATCATGGAGGGAACTTGGTAAGAACCATCATGGAGGGAACTTGGTAAGAAGCCGGTTCCAACATCTAGCCAAGTTAAAAAGCACCGATTAAAAAAGAAACATTTCTATTGGTTGGGTTATAGTATAAAACCACTATCAACCAAAATAGTGCATGGCCTAAATCAACAATAAATAAGATAAGATAGATCTATCTTTTAGTCAAAGTATGACACAAATGGAGCTTCACAACCCACATGCATTTACATCATAAGTTCATAGTTTCATACTATCCATTAGTACCAATCTTCACGCATTCTTGTACCTTCAGGACAAACTACCTACGGTGCCTTGCATATTCCGGGCTCCTGACTCGGTCATACGTGGGTCCATTGTACCGATCATAGACAGGGCTACGTGCGCGTCCGTAATCAGGACTGGGCCTGTTTCTGCGATAAATCGGGCTCGGTGATCTTCTATACGGAGGGCTGTCCCCACCCCCACGCCTTACATTGTCTCTTCTAGGAGGGCTATCAAGCCTGTCACCTCTCTCATCATCATCTCTAAGGGCATACTCTACAGACACCACCCTGTCAAGTATCTTACTGCAAATTAAAAAACTCAACTATGAGTACCTTCTCTCAATGTAACAAAAATATGCATAAACGTAATGCTGCTTAAGGGCATTCATTCACATTCTCAAACCCTATGAAATTATGTCTTTTTCCCAAGGTGCAAATTTTCTTTCTAGGGAAGGTAAAACAGTTACAATTTTAACTTTTTTTAAATGTTTGTCGAAGTTGACATATTAATCTTCTTTGCTACTTTGGCAAATGACTTGGAAAACTGTTTTACTCAAAAAGGTGTCCCTTTATTGAGGATATTCCGTAGCAGGACTTCTGAAGAAAAACTTCAAACACTTGACTTTATATGGCACAAAGGGGGTAGAAGCAAGAGATTATTACCTCATATGAGTGCACTCCAAAGCTTTGGTTGCCTCTTCCAGAGTTTCGAACTGGACAAATGCAAAATTCCTTCGAATACGGACATGGTGGATTTTCCCATACGGCTCAAAGTGCCTCTCTATGTCACGAACTCTAGTCCGATGAGGATCAAAATTGATCACAAACAGTGTTTTAGTGGGCCTCTGGTTTGCCACAGACTTCGTCCCTTCACGATGTCTACTCCCACGTTCACCCTGTGATAAATAAACAAATTAAAGAATGATATAATCAAGATAAAGATTATTTCTCTTAGCAAGAGTTGTTCAGATGAATCCAAGAGGACTGAAAATACCCTTGCCCATTCTACAGAAAGCCTGCGCTTGTCATACCCAAACGGAACATTATCCAAATGACGAATAGCATCAGCAGCATCACGCTCATCTTCAAAGTAGACAAACGCAAACCCTACCATTGAAAATAAACACATTAAAAATTAACAAAGTGTATACAGATCAGCCAAGGACTACATGTTTTTTCCAGAAACATTATAATACAGGTAAAATTGCTAGTCTCTCCCGGTGTGGAATGTAATAAGAATACAACACCTGCAGGCATGTGAAGGACTGAAGAAAGCAAGAGGACGTAGAGGCATTGCAAGAAGTAAATGATGATTTGGTTGCTTATAAAAGGGTTTATATCCACAATTGTGAGTTCTGAGTACTCATCCCTAAGAATTCTTCACCAATTTCACAGCGGGAGATCAGACTAACAAGTAGAAGGCATGGCATGATATAATTCTTTGATTGATCCTCGTTAAACTTAGTAGTGATTGATGGTAGTAGGCATGGCATGATGAACTGACAGTATTGCAACGCGACCATTCTTGTTAAATGGCAACATGGGTAGTAGTAAAGTGAGTGGGTGGTCAATGAACTGAAGGTGGTATAAAGAAATGTAGACGTGCACACACTTCCATCCATGAGTGGAAGAAGAGAGAGCAGTGGAAGAAGAGAGCGCAGGCTAGCACACATATGTTTCCGTTGCTTTAGAATGTTTATTATTGCAGACACAGGTGTTGAGCCAAAGATAGAAGCTCATTTTCCCTTAAGACATGTTCCTGCGTCAAAGCAAACACTTAAATATGGCTGACAAATTTTCCAGAAAAAATTGTCCCATTACGATCTCTCTCCCATTAAAGGTTGCACTTTTAAGAATATGCTGCAATAATTGCCAGCCATAGCTAATACTTCCAATCTTCTGCACACATGTGATCTAAACATATAGAGTGTGGTGCATAAGATATGATCTAACCATATAGAGTCATACTGCTTTGTTTAAAAGTTGATGTCCTGTGAGAGGTCAAGCACATGTAGGATTATTTGATTCTGTCTAATACAACAAGCAGTAAAACAATATACATCCAAGAGAAAGTAAGGAACACATATGTGTTGCTAGGTAGATAAAAATAAAACCTACTGCACAAATCACGTATAACTATTCCCTGCACAGACTATAAAATCACAAATGCACGACTTAAAAATTACAATGCACCATTTCATGTTCAGAAAAACACTGATGCCTTAACTGAGGCATTCCTTTGAACAATGAGCGCTGGTGCCCAGTAAACAGTTGAGAGAATAGATCAATCAAATTACCAACCATAAGATAACTGAAATTGAAATAACAACGGGAAAAGAGGAATGTTCATCAAGAGACGATAACCAAACAAAAGAAAGTTCGCATCAGTACCAGATTTCATGTCAACACGATCGACTCTCCCGTGTTTAGAAAACAGTCGCTCCAGATCAGACTGGCGAGTCTCATACTCAAAATTGCCAACGAAAATCGGCCTCATCTTTAGCTCGAACAATCAACGAGACGCGCCTAATGCACCGTTTCTGGTTTCTTAATAAAGTCAAACATCAAGAGCAACAATCGAGAATAAATGATTAATGACGAGTACTCAAATTATACGATGTCTATATTTTATACTCTGTATAAAGAGAGGGACGGCCGGAAGCTTACTAATCGAAAACCCTAACGAGTAACAGCCACGAAAGGCAAGCAGACGAATGCGAAGTTAGGGGTCAAAGCGATGCTTAAAAGCCGTAACAAAGCTCTACACGCGTTGGGCTTTTGGCTTATGAATCTCATGAGAGAGAGAACATTAGGCCCAATCCAAAATGGTTTGTTTTACATTACAATTTAATAAGATTTGGCCTTTTATTAGGAATATTGCTAATAATACGGAGTAATATATATACCTTAAACTTTGAAGGTGTGTGACATAAGTATCTCAAACTTGCACATTAATATATATACCTTAAACTTTATATCAAAAATTATGTTAGCAACATGATCATATACTTTTTACAAATGTAAAGTTATGATGTTAAGTACATAATTTAAAATGTACAAAACATTTATGATGATGCAATTAAAAATAAATTGTACCAGATGTAGTATTATTTATTTCACAACTGAAATTTTAGAATGTTAATTACATTCCAACAAGGCTTAGAGTATTTTAGATTATATAATTATTCTAATAAATTTGTATCTGTAAAAAATATACAATCATGGTGCGAAAATAAATTTTTATATAAAATCCAGGGTATGTATATTACATATGCAAGTTTGTGATACTTACCTTACACCACATTAAAGTTTGAGGTACTTAAATTATTTTTTCCTATATTAAAAGACAACAAAAGCTAGTAGGAGAATGTTTTTAGACAAGTGTGAATAATTGGCATTAAGTAGGGGTGAAAAAATGGCTTACTTTGTTAATAGTTCCCCTACTTCACTAATAGTAGTTTACGAATTTAATTAAGTGATAATTATTTCAAAGGCTTGACTTGCAAAAAAAGGAGACATTAACTCTTCCAATAATTTTGGTAACCGATCAAGATAATTACTTGTAAATCATTTTTATATTTAATTTTAACATCGTCATCGCCGGCATAGTGACCATCACGAATAGTTATATCATCTTTCGATCTATAGTGACCACCATCGATAGTTACTAAAAAAGATTGGTTAGTGATTCCACCCCAACTTTAATCTAGCCTACTACTGAGAATGGGTCTAACCCCACAATCATAGTCACTGAAATGTAACCGCAAAAATAGTCATTTGAAGGTTAGATCCTACTAGCGACATACATTTATAATGGTATCAGTCCATTGCAGTGACTATTAGATCATTGCATCCACACCCAAAATTCACGGTGACTGGAACCCAAACCCCACACTGACATGCACACTATTTGTCGCCTGAAAGCGACTTGACACCACCAAAACCTCTATCGCATGTCCGGATCCCATTGCAACAGTGAACAAGAACATGCTGCAACCATCACACCATCATCTCCCCAATTGAGTAGTGAGTGCCTACAACCCACCATCACTATCGTCATTACTCAATCTGTCACTACTCCAATCCCAATTGCCCAACGCATACCACCGCCCTACCCCTCGTTTTAAAGCATCTACTTTTCTTTTGTGATTTTTTAAAATAAAAAATAAATAGGTAAAATGTTACTCAAAGTTTAGATCTAGAATATTCGTTCAAACTAGATTTCTCCCGCTTAGTGCGTTGACCTGGGATGCCGGGGTAGAGTTGCGGCCCGAGACGAAGAGGTAAACTAGGACACTTGAGGCGGAGCGGAGTCTGGGATGTTTGAAGCGGAGCAGCGGCCTTGGACAAAAAAGGCACCGCGGCAACTTGGGACGATGAGGCAGTGTAGCAGCATGGTAGCCTGGGACAGTTGAGGTGGAGGTGAGGGATGTGCGGTAGGAGGGCTATACTGGCGGTGGCTCATGTTGTCCTTCAAGGTATATGCAATATGAGATATGAACGAAGAGATTAAATTGGTACTCGTATTTAATATGCACTAGCATTGAGTGATTAATTAAAAGGTCACTTTTTGTAAAAAAGAAAAGGAGTAATACTTTTGGAATTGAAAAGTCTAATAGTAATATAGTGGCCATTTATTCATAAGATTTTCACCCGCATAATCTTCACTTAATAACACTATAATTCCCAAAAACAAATTCCTGATCACAACTACTTTTCACCACATCCATCAGATTCTAATAAGCCTTATCAATGGCTTCTGCTTTTTTCCTTTCATTTCATTTTTGTTTTACCTTCCCGCTTTTCAATCAATTCCTTCTACGCTAACTGTTTTTCCCGTTTTCCCCTTATTTATTCTTCACAATTCGCAGTCATGCAACTTCTTAAAAACCGTTGGTGTCATCGGACATAAAGTTTCTCAAAAAAGGTGATGATGCAACTCCCAAATCTACCCAGAGTCATCTGCTTGGAAATCAACCGAAAAAGGATATTCTATCCCAAATCATCTACTTGAGTCATCTTGTTAGGTCTCTGTTTTCTGTGTATGTGTAACACCGCCCCCAAGTAATTGTACTTTAACAAATTATGTATTGAACTCTGAGAAATGAATAAACACATTTTTACGTGATGATAAATTTTTATCATTTCTTTTACGTGAATAGTAAAATTCACGTGGGGCCCACACCGGAAGTGGGGGCCGCCCGATATTATCGGGACCACATATTATATTAATCTTGGCCTAGATAATATGTATATGGTGGTGGATATCCTAATTGGGCCATGACAATAGCATAGGGTTGACCGATTGGTCAAACGAGGTCCGATTATCAGTATCAGTAATTTATCAGATAACAGCCGAATTGAATTTCGGAGACCTTTAAATTAAAGCTGGGGAAAGTATATTCATTCTAGGGTCCAATGAGGATTTATAACATGTGTTATATTTTATTTGACCCGATAAAATGTAATATAATTAAAACAGTCCGGAAAATACAACTTTCGAGACCGATTGTACACTCTGGGACACAAAGGGTTGACCTCCCACATAAGTGGGGGCCAACCCACGTTTTTAGCTCTGCAAGGAGGGCAAGGTAGCCGCACAACCTTGTGGGAAATGAGCAAGAAGTGACTGAAGGCCAAACCAATAAGTGGAATGGACCCTCCCCTATGTTATCTTTGTGAGAAATGCCAAAAAGGCATTCTCAATCAACCATACACCCCCCAGCTCGGCCCATCCCTCAAGTAAGGTGAGAGAAGCTCTGTAATACTCCATCTTTGCCAGCCATATCCGCACAAAGCAAGGAGAGGAAGAAGGAAGGGAAGAAAGAAGAGAAAGGAGGAGGTTAGGGAGGAAAACTTGAGATTAACAAGGTAATGATCCCGTTAATCCCATTTCGTTTTCTTTAATCTTTTCATATGATTATACAATCATATTTCACACCCTAGGATTGTTTTACACGTTTGTAAGTGTAGAATGAGGGGTTGGAAGGTAGTTATAGGTCCAAGAACGGACTTAGAAGCCAAAGTGACCGGTTCGCCGGAAAATAACCTTTTGGAGGTTATTTGAATTAATATGGGTTTTATGATGATAAAACCTTGTTAGTAACGTGTCTAAGGCATTCAAGGAACTTTCACGGAGTTGAAAGGGTCGCCTGAATTGTTGCCGGAGTTCGTTGAAGTTCGTCGGAGTTTCGCCGGAGCTCAATAAAGAAGGCTAGAACTTCATAAGCTTCATTTAAGGTGAGAAGATGGCTTTATGCTTTATAACTTTTGCGTGAGGCATGAGATTGCCTAAATTAATCAAGAATATGTTTTATGGATTGATTAATGGTATTAAAGTATGCGTTATGTTATGTTAAGGAGAATAACATAGTTGGAAAGCATGATTTATAGCTTTGATTGGTGAAATTTCTATAAATTGATATGTATGATGTTCCAAGGACCGAAACAGGTATTTTTGGATTAAGAACGTCAAAGAGTACTTGCATGTAAAATTTCACGTTAATCGGACACCGTTTGGGCGGTCAAACGGGCGTTGACCGCCAAGTCAACTGTTATACCCGACCGGGTATTGGCAAATACACGACCAGGTATTTGCTGAAAATTTGCCCCAGGGGCTACTGTCTTCTATACCCGATCGAGTATGGGTATGTACTCGATCGAGTATACACTAAAAATTGGCCTTACGGGCTACTGTCTCCTGTACTCGACCGAGTATAGGTGAGTACTCGATCGAGTATTAGGTTATGCTCAGAACGTGCAGTTTTGAGTAGGTTAACGTGGGCCATTCAAGTGGGACCCGCCCACGTTGGTTCCTAGGGATTGTTATATGACTGTAGGGCTAGGCATTGTCCATAGTTAAAGGAATGAAACGTTAGCCACATCCAGGTTAGGATTTGGTAGAGCATAGACCGGGGACCGAGTACCCTTGGACGGTAAATGATCCAGAATACTCCAGGTGGGGTCGAGTACCCTTGGACGGTAAATGATCCAGAATACTCCATGTGGGGTTGAGTGCCCTTGGACGGTAAATGATCCTAAATACTCCAGGTTGGGTTGAGTGTCTTGGACGGTAAATGATCCTAAAACACTCGGTAGTATGAATCGAAGGTAGACTATAGCTTGTGAGCTAGGCATCCGGTAAAGGAGTGACAAAAGTGAGGTAATAACTTTATCTCTAAAAGACTCTTTAAATGAAATGACCTACGGGTTGAGTATTTTACAAATATATATACAGTATGTACCATCGGGTGGATGAGTCACATACATACACACACACACACACACACACACACACATATATATATACACACACACACACACACACACACACACACACACACACAATCTAATAAGGCTGAATGAGGGTTAAGGTAATGTGGGTATACAAAATTTGTTAGTGGTATCCTAAGCTTAATTGACATGTACAAAATATTTAGATGCTTGTACATTTCAATTTCATTTGGCCTACCTCCTTACGGCCCGTTAGTCTCCGTTAAATATTCCCTCCAAGGCCCGGCTAGCACCGTTTGGCTTCTCCTTTCCTCTTTAGCCGAACAGGACATTCCGTCCCGTAGAATCACAAACCAGGCCAGGGATTTTAAGTTTGGGCAACATTCCGCCTCTCGCTTCTCCATTCAGATCGGTAGACAGGATCCGATTCTAAAAAAGCAGAAGTAGAATGCTTCGATCTCCTCTTTTCCTTGTCGAGACAATTCCGGTCTAAAAAATTGCTTTTCGATTTTTACACTTTTTATTCAAAGCTGGCCCAGTATATTTTTATTTGATTTCTGATTAACTCACTACGCGTACTAATTGTTTTGG